GGATTTTACATGAAAAATTATGTAGGAATAAGTTAAGAGATTGATGGAATCAAAGGAGAAATAATTGTGTTAAAAATCAAACAAAATGGGGGAATTAAAAAGATTTAAGGTTAAATGTTTGTGTTCAAGCTTGAATAATAGTTAATATGGCTTGTATTGATAGGTTTTGTGAAGAAGAATCAAGGAGATCATAAACCCCTTGAGGAGGCCGAATTGGTCTAAGTGTAAAAAGAAGCATTGAATCTAATTTGATTGTTTTCTTGCTTACTTAATGTGTATATGTTGCTTGCTTTGTCTTGCTATGAAATGATTGATTTTATACTATGGTATGGAATATCCTTTGATGTTTGACATGTTTGGCCAAATGTATATTGATATGAAATATGAATATGTACTAATTTCCTTGATAGAATAATGTGCTATTCATGGAATCAAAATTGATTATTATGCATTGTGACATGTCACATTTTGTAAAGCATGATTAACATGATAATTATAGTTGTTAGGATTATGGTTTTGATGATAACAAAGTTAGATTAAAATTGGTTAGGTATGTTGATCGATCAGATGATCGATTAAATGTTTATCGATCAGCTGTTAGATAATTGTTCAGTATAAATCAAATGTATGTTAAGTATTTTAATCGATGAGATGTTCAGTAATTCATTAATCGATAAAATGATCGATGATCATTAACGCGAAAGTCATAGAAGGTAACTGACGGTTATCGATAGTTTAATCGATAATCCCAGATGATTGAACAAGTGACAGACAAAAAAAAGTGAATCTGGACTGATCTTATCGATCAAGTAATCGATAAAAGAGTTATCGATAACGACATCGATAAATGGTAAGACACTCTACTGTTTGAATAAATGTTTCTGGCATTGTTTATCAATCACATTATCGATCATCTTATTATCGATAATATGATCGAAAATTGAGCTCTAACCCTCTTCAATGCAGGTACTGATTATAGACTATTTAATCGATAACTTTATCAATCATCAAATTATCGATCATCAAGTTAGAGTTAAGAGGGATTTCACCGCAGAGGGGAAGACACAGGATTTATACTGGTTCGGTCTTAACCACTTGACCTACGTCCAGTCCTCAGAATACCTCTGAGTATTTCACTATCTTCCAAGATTGATCGGGCTCTTGGTGCCTCAGTACAGTAATTGAATCACTCAATCACTCCCCCTTACTCCCGTAAGGATACAAACCCACTCAAGAGTCCATACTCTTGAGTATCACTCAATCGTGATTAATAGAGGATAGATCTCGACTCTCTTACAGAGTGAAATTTAATGATGAACACTGACGCTCAGTAATGTTGAAGAAACAGAGTATTGAATGCTAGACTTAATAATCACATATGGTAGTTTCGGTATTCAATCCTCTCATTAATGGTTCTTCACGCCTTTTATAGTTGAGATCGTTAAGTATCCGTTAGACGGAAGAGCTTCTAGCCGTTGTGACTCCGTTTGCGTGTTTGTTATTGAAATGATGTTTTGTAATTATATACATCGTTATGTATAATTGTGAACTATGTTGAAATATTGTATCAATGATTAAGGATGCTCTAACTATGAGCAATCGACTAAGAAATTATGTTTAAGTATATGTTATATGATTGGAAAGGTCATGTGAAAGGAGAGCAAAAGAGAAACCAAGAATCTCATGAAAAAGGGACAAAAGTTAACTTTTTAAGGGTCAAGTTTGACTAACATGATTCTGAGAAATTGGATGATTTCTGAGCTGAAATTTGGCATGCTACAGATCTCATTTTGAGCTTTAAAACAAATTGTAATTCACTAAATTTAGAGTTTTATACAGAAAGTTATGCCCTTCCAAAGTTGGGCATAAATCATGAAAAATTAAAAAATGACTAAATGAACAGTACTACTTTGAACGAAATCTAGGATTGATGCATGATTTCTAGACACCAAGGAGTATTTTTCCTTTAAAGATCATGTTAAGATCTCTCCATAAAACTTGGAACCATCTCATTCTCTTTTTCTAAAATTAGTTATGAATTTTTAAAATTTGGCCTTTGTAAGGGTTATGATGAATAGTAACCCAAATTTAAGAAAATTTAAAATTTGAACTTTTCCAACCCAAGGCTATGATAAGTGATTTCAAGTGGTTCCAGTTGGTATAAAATAAAGTATAAAAGTAAGGTGTGATATTAGGCTCACTATTTGCCAAGTCTGAAAGGGGTTTGGAGCTTGCAAGAAGTTTGATTTGGGCTCCGATGGACGAGGCCCAAGGTTAACCTTATTAATTGAATTTCATTTCAACTTCCCTTTCTCTTTAGGAAATATTCCTCCCTTATTTTGCTTTGACTGGCCCACTGGGATCCACTTCAATTTATTCATTAGCTCCTTTCTAAAGGATATGGGACTTCCGATATTAACCTGCATAATCTTTGCTTTCTCCATTCCATTTCGAAGATATGATTTTTTCTGTTGGCAAGAATCTCACCTATTAACTTCATTGCTACATGATTGTTGATTTCTCATTGGCGAGTTGATACCTGATCCCGTATTTTCTGTGTTTCCATTTCTTTTCCGTTTGAACCGTTGCAGAAGATTCTACATGTCGATACCCTTTGTTCGCAGCATCGCCACAACACCAGTCTAATCACTAGTGACTATTTCTTCTCTATGTTGTTTCTCAGCTGTCGTCTAGGTTTGTTCTGGTTTTTGTGGCAATTCACCTTTTTTTGTTCTGTTCACACTTTGTGTTGTCAGTAGCAGCATGTACCTTCCTGTTCACTATGTCAGGTTGCCTATTCTTATTCTTTCTAGCTTTGCCCATAACAGGTTGATTGTCTTTATCCGGCCACACATCCTTATGGTGGTCGTACTTACCACAACAAAAACATATCAGGTGGAGACCTTCGTATTCTACGACTTGATGTTTTCCAAAAGTCATGACTCCTGACTATAGCTTTTTTTTTTGGAGATCTAGCTCAACACGAATTCAGGCAAATCTTCCTCTCTCACTTGTGTAGGTAATTATATCGACCTTTAGAGTTTTCCCAATGAGCCCTCCAATTTTTCTTAGACCTTTAGTGTTGAAGAATTCAAGAGGAAGTAGTGGAATTCTAATTCAAGCTGCAATTTTTTTTTTTTAAACCTTAGTGTTCGAGGGGTCAAAATTTGGCTTCCATCTCTATGTAATGAGATACCTGCCTACAATCATCTAAGTGCCTTCCTGATAGATATAGTTCATGTCAACCTCATCCTCAAAGGATACAACCAAAAAACCATTGTCTAGATCTCGGGTAGTACAAGGGTTTGTTGCTTTCCAAATATGCAGAGAGATATGGTTTTGCCCAGTAGGTAGGATTTCACCACATAAAACATCAATATTCGTATTCTTCATTCGTAATTTTCAGGGTAGGACAATTATAATCATCATCCTCGTTTTGCGAATTCTCGTCCTCCTTCCCAGTACTGAAGTAGCCCTTTAGTCCTTCAATGTAGTCTTTCCAAGCATCTTCAAAAACTTTACTCCCCTTCATGTCCATAGAGCAAGGTTCAAGTTCAACACCTATGAGCTTATCCTTGAAAGAGATACTCTCTTCCTTCTGTTGTTTGGTTTGTGACTCCTCCATCAAGGGCTTAGAGTGCCGTTTGAATATTTTCTTTTTCTGTCGTGCCTGGTCTTTGTCATCCTCAGTGGTTCCACCATTCTCCGAGAGAATTTCAAATCCATCCATCAGAATCAATTATATATTTATAAATGATTTTAATAAATAAAAAGGATAATTAATATGCAAATCCTTATAGTTTCAACCAGTTTTTAATCATGTCCCCATAATTTTTTTTCCTTTTTATCAGGTCTTTATAATTTGACATGTTTCTAGTCAGGTCCTTATATTTTTTTTTCTTTTTATCAGGTCCTTATTGTTTTACTTTATTTTTAATTAGATCCTTGTAGTTTTTATTCTTTATCCTATGAACAACAATATTCTATAAATAATAAATTATTACAATAATCTTATGTTAATATTCTTTTAAATCTTTGTTAATCATATATATTATTTATTTTTCAATTCTAATTTTTATAATTATTAAATTCAAATTATAATAATAAAGTTTTCTAAAATTAAAATATAATTATAAATAAGAATATAATTATATATAATTTATAGTTAAGTATAATTGATTATTCAGATTCATTATTAATTACTAAATTTATAGTTAAGTATAATTGATTGCTAAATTAATTACTAATTGATTATTATTTTGTCCAATTAAATAATTATTAATTAAAAATGAAATTAATTTTAAATAATAAAGTTAATAAATAATTTTTTAAAAACTACAAAAGACCTAATTAAAAAAATAAGTGAAAGTATAATGACCTAAAAAAAAGGAAAAAAATGGAGGGGCCTAATTAAAAATACGTGAAAGTAAAGAGATGTGATAAAAAGAAAAAAATTTCATGGAGACCTGATTAAAAATCAAATGAAATTATAAGAATCTGAAGATTAATTATCCCTAAATAAAATCTAAACATAATCCATGTTCTCAGTGTCACTTATAAGAAAAAAATCCAAACAAAAATTACAATTAACCGACATCACTTTTAATCAATGTCAGTTATAAAAATCAAGATCATATAAAATCATGATTATTCACCACTAATCCAAACGAGCACTCTTTTTATAACATCAATAGTGTAGATGTCACCATTAAAACCACCATTAAAATGCTCTTTTTACTGTCATAAAAAATCTTTTCAAATTGCCATTTCTTCCTTGATTAGCTTCTTTTAACAACGGCTTGTCTTCAAAAGAGTTTAATTTGTTTCCAAAATTAAATTAAAAATTCAGCAAAAACTAAATTAAGATGATATGAGAAATACCATATTTTACTTTTAGGTTAATTATTCTAATTCATTTCCCCAAACACACGGAACTACAAAGATGAAAAAATTATAAATTATTTTTCAGACTTAATTGTTCCCATTACATCTCTTATAGTAAACTTTTAATGCTTCCTTCATTTTTCACATTTGTTCCTAGATAAAATCCAAAACCTTCAAACTTTTCTGCAGTATGAATCCCAAAATTGATTGTTATTCACCCTTGCAATGACTTTGGTTAGTGCATCATTACCTGTAGACACAACAATAAGTAAACAAAAATAAATTTAACAATAAAATTAGAGTTAACCGAAGTCATACATCTGCTGACTTTTGCTAAGAATTCCAGATTTTTTTGTTCAGTTTCCAAATTATAGATAAACTTATCTTGAAATAAAAGCTTATCTCCAATTTTAGAATTTTTTTTCCTAAAGTAAAAATACCCTCCAATAACCTAGATATATATTATTTAAATAAAAAATTACAGGAAGTTATTTTTATCAAAAGTAAAGTTGAGCTGAAGTGTACATTTTTTTGAGAGTGTAGAATATCTTTTTATTTGGGAGAATTAGAGAGAAGGACCAATATGCAGTAATATTTATAAGTGAGAATCATAAAAAATAAAATTATTTAAAAGGACCACATATTCAAATATAAATTTAAAAATATCATATTGTCTCTGTCTAAACCTTCAATATTTTCTTATATATTCCCTCCTACATTTTATTTTTAAAACTAATGCAAACTATCAAATTTCACTAAATTAAACATGATTACTCTCAAAGTCTACAACCTGTGTAAAAATCAATTTAAAAAATACGCAAACATTATTGATTCATATAAAAATTACAGTTTTATTTTGAAAAAAAACTTAAAATTTTCTTTTTAAAACCGTCATAGATTTTAATTGAAAATAAAAGTTATATACTTTTATCCAAATTTAGATTATATTTTAATTTATTATATGCACGATTTTAAAAATTCAAAAAATTTTGTATAATTTATTTTTTATTTAATAAGGAATTTATATTAGATTTAAAAATAAAAAAATCATGTAGCGTTAAGAAATTTAAAGAATTCAGTTAATTTATTATAATTTTATAAGACCCCTCCTCAAAATCATTTAACAAAAGCTACCTAATTATATAATAAAAAAATTCATGTAACGTTAAGAAATTTAAAGAAATCATCTTCTTTGAATTTTTTAAATATTTCTTATATAATAAATTAATAATAATCTAAATTTTAATAAAATTATATAATTTTTATCCTCAATTAAAGTCTGTGATGATCTTAAAAAAATTTTAATTTTTTAATGAAGAAAATAAAAATTTAATTTTTACATGACTGAACAATGTTTGTGTATTTTTTTAATTGATTTTATGTAGGTTGTAAATTTTGAGAGAAACTATGATTAATTTAGTTGAATTTGTTAATTTGCATTAGTTTTGAAAATAAAACACGAGGAAATATAGGAAAAAATGTAGGAGGTTTGAATAGAAACAATAAAGCGTCTTTAAATTTATATTTGAATATTTAGTCCTTTTAAATAATTTTAATTTGTATGATCTTTTTTTATAAATATTACTCTTTATTGGTTTTTCTCTCTAATTTCCTCTTTTTATTTCAAGAGAAGTTTGTGCATATTTTGGATAATAATAGTGCGTATGATTTACTCTGATGATACTAAATATTTTTGCTTCTATGAAACTTTTTTTTTTTCATTCTCGGGGCCTGGTTCGATCAAAAGATGGTTTGCCATGCTTAGATTATAGGCTCATGAATTCGTAAAAGATTAGGACATTACCTTAGAATTTTCGGAGAATTTTCATATCATTAAGAAAAATATGCCCTTCTTGTCGTGGTTACAAGATCTTCAATCTGAAAGTTAAAAGAAGGAGCCTTCTTCTTGAACCTCCCTGACATGGCCCCAACTTGTACCACGAATGTTGCACAAACCGGCCGATGATCGGAAAACTTCAATTCCTTTCGCTCATAAGAGCGTTGCTGAATTCCCCTTCCGCGCCATAGAATTCTATCACACCTGCAATTTTGTTTTGTTTTCTTCAGATCAGCAAGTAGCATAACAATATGATATCAACTCAAATTTTTTAGTCCGATACATACCAAGCCGGAGTTCTTCTTTTGCTTTTTGAAACTTTGACAGATTCTGCATAGTAAGAGTCTGAGTTGAAGAGGTATTTGTAAGTAGGTGCAAAGTAGATTTTGCCTTCTTTCCACCCCTTAAACACACGGCCTGTTTCCCTTTCTGTCTGAAGCTAAAAGAAGCAAATATGCAGCAATAAGCGCAGCAGAAAAATTAAGCATAAGTTGCATGAAGAGGAGAAATCCTTGAATCTCTTAATATTTTACATATCCCAAGCTTCATTGACAAGAAAAAAAGTCATATGGTCCAAACAGAAACAGGACCGGATGGATTTTTTGAATTTTCTATTTTGCACTTTCATAATTTTTGTCTACTGAAACAAAGTTACGACAAAGATTACCTATCAGCAGAGAGGAACACAGTATATTCTTCCATGTCACGTTTGGTTACAATGATTTCTACATAATATCAACTATGTGCTTCTAACCATTACTTAATAATATAAATTCTTTTTAATTTTTTTAAAAGTAAGAACACAAGGGTCGTTTTTCATTTCATAAATCACTTATTATTATTATTACTTTTAATCACATCCCTTCTCATTCTGTATAACAAGCAGGTCGTACAAGACTTTCAACTAGCAATTACAAACAAAAGTCACTAACTGAAAAAAAATGAGGTAACCAACACAAAATACTTCCCAAAACTCAATGACAGGTATGATAACCATGTAGAACAAAAAGCAAAAACTCCCAGAAAATTCTTTGCAAGTGAAACTCCAACTCAAACTCCTAGATAGTTATCCAAGATAAACACACACACACACACACACACACACACACACATATATAACCACCATCCTAACAAATACAAACTATAATAAAATCATAGTCAACATAAGCTAGGGAAACTACCTGATCCTTGTCAAAAAGTGCAAGCCAATCCTTCCTTTCCACAAGCCTTTTTGCATCATCATAGCTTAAAGCAATTCGGTAGTTTAGGTCACCTAGCCATATTATCCGACTGAGGACAGATTTTCCATGGACATGTCAGATATTTAGAGACAAATGGTTTGAACATTACATGTAGAGCATTGTCCACTGAAAAGATCTTGGCATTAGCATTAACAATAACATTTAAGTAGTTTCAAGAAAAGTGCTCACTCATGGTCCAAGATTCTCTCGGGCATTCTAGTATATGATGTCTTGCATATCCTTGCAAACTGAGTGTTCTTTAAAATCTCAATAACATCAAGGTTTCTCCTAAGCTCATCTCCCTCTTTCTCTCCAGATGCCAAATGACTGCAGATGAAGCAAAAGGTTGTCTGGTACAATGACAAGCTCACAGATATACACCCCTGCAACAACAGACCTTACAAGATGATGTGCAACATAACTAGTTGGTGAAGGGACTACATTTTACTCCCTTGAGTAACGTTTTACTTAATTGGCACGTAAACTTCAAAATGCGACAAAGCGCATCCTAGAAGTTTGGACTTAAACAAAACCATTAAACTCCAATTCATATTACTGTAGTAGACTGGTTTCTTGCTTCAAAGTGTTGTTTTGTTACATTTTAAATTTCATATACCAATTACGTGATTAGACCTTAATTCAACAAGGCATGGTATAATTTCTTAAGCATAGAAGAAAGATGGTTCAGAATACCTTGTTTCCAAGGCATCCCATGATCCCGCGACTAGTGCAACATACTCTCAAATGGCCAACATGCTGAACAAGTTCCTTCTTCATCCAGACACAAACGAAAATTCCCACCATTTGTTTGCTCGCAACAAGACTGTATTTCATATTCGCATTAGTAGGCAAAGAAATGGAAGTTTGGTAACTGTCATCATCCTCTTCAGAGGAAGAATCGTCAAGGTTTACATTTGATTCTTGGCAGAGAAAACAGAATTCCTTGGAAACCTTCCTTTCCATTTCAAGAACACAGTTACACCCTTTTAACCTCTTTCCATCTAATGTTCTCAATGTCTTCTTAAGCTTCCTGTAAGTGGGCTTTTGAAAGAACAAAGACCCGCCAAATGATGCCGTGTGTTTTAGTCCCTTTGAAGCTAAATGAGAAGGTCGATTCAGTGAATGATTGATCAAAGCAAGCCATTTCGCGGCAGGCTCATTGTCCTCTAATACCAGCACATTTCCTGCATTCAAGGGGACGATTTCCTGAAAACTAACAAGATGGAGAAGGCAAATCAGAGACAGAACCAGTTCAAGACATTAAACAAGAAATATGCAGTTTTATATTTCGTTTTCCTCTGCCTCACACAGCATTACTTATTATTCAATTCACTCTCTCTCAAAATATGATATGTCAAAAGGTTCACACTGCTCTGAACATCCTATATGCTGAACAAGCTTTTTTATTTTTTATTTTGGACAAGGCATTTTCATTTAATTATTCAAAAGAGAAAGTGAGGGAAGAAAAGAATGAATAATAGGTCCCTCAAAGGAAAGGAATAACTTATAGGGAAAATGGCAGTCAGCGACCTATGACTAGCATTAATGACAACAAAGGACTTAAAAAAATTTATTGTAACATCGAGAGGACCAAGTTGTTAGTTTAGAGAACCTGTGAGGTCTCTTTAAGAAACACCCAGGATTTCTAATTTTCAAAGCCACTACCATCATCAACATAACTTACAGGTCCTTAACTATCATTTTCTCTGAATTAAGTCTAACACTTTTTGTTAGTGAATAAAGTCAGAAACGTGAGAGAGAGAGAGAGAGAGAGAGAGAGAGAGAGAGAGAGCTTACCCCAAGACATATATATCTGGTTCATTTCTGACCTGAAGAAAGTCGCTCAGGTCAAGGTTCCCATCAGGACATTGTCCTCCTACATTCCATGTTGCTACAAACACTCTAAGATCAAATGGAATTTGATTACTAGAAGTTATATACCCTGAGATAGTATAAGAGGTAACAGAAACCAAGAAACAGAAATTCATCTTATAAATACCTTAAATTCTGAATTTCTTCACCAGAAGACATAGGAGGCTCTGTGCAGCTAAAATAATGACTTCCAATGGATGGGTCAGATAGTGCTTCTGCAATTGTTTCAAACAATGAAGTTAACAACAGACAAAGGATAAAAGGTTGATCAAAGTAATCATGCCAAGAACATTGTGTTAAAGATAAGAGTGAAGCTGAAACATGCCACGACTAAAGATCCTCTTAAAACCAACCTCAGTAACAAACTTACATATAGGCATAACAAAGAGGGATGTCATCGGTAAAGAAGAACACGTAAGATTAAATAAAGATGTAAAATCCTCCACTACACTAGCTTGCAAGTCCAAACATGAATATATTCTCATAGATCAATTTCCCAGATGCTCCACCTACTCTGTCATAAAATTTTCCGTGGCTAATAAGCCAATCAGTGTCATTTTCTCAAATAAATCACACTGGTAAAATGAAACAGCATATTAAATTTCTCCACTACATTGGCAACTGGGGTATATTGTCAAGGGCTGAAAGGTATATAATATTCTAAAACTTATCTTCTAATAGTTCCAAATTAGTTTTGTGTGGCTAGAGAGAAATGGATATTGTGAATAGTTAAGGAATGGAAAAGAGGATATATTCATGCTTCATATAGAACACTAGATAAAACCCCGAATAGATTCTTCATTTTTAATGAAATTGCCTTGGGTGTTCCATCAAAAATTCTGTCATCACTTATCAGTGAGGCAGTTTTATCTCCTTACCTTTCAAAATATCATCCCAAAAAAGGGCATAGAAGAACAAAAGGTTCCGTTTGAAAGGGCAAGGAAGAAAGAATTAATCAAATTTCATTCGGAGGGGAAAAAAGAATTATATAAATTTTCCCTTCAATGGAAAAGCAGAGATTCCACTGATTAAGACAAGCAAGCGGAATCATATCTAAAGTATAGAAAGCAAAAAAAAAGTTATGAGCTGGCCTCCCTAATATCAGAAAGATTATTCTCTCTGTCCCATTTATTGATATAAATAACAACAACGTACTGTTTCCCCTATTTCACCTAAATGTAAGCCTTATTTTGTAGTATAAATTATACTATAAAATGAGTCTTCATTTAGAACCGAAGTGAGTATCTATTAGCAACTCTTTTCCTCTTGAACTCACCAAGGGTATCAACCGAGACTCCACTGGCCTCCCTCTCATTTCTCTCCTTCATGGTGAAAATTTTCCGAATAAAAGACTGAAATCACAATCAAGAAGACAGATTATAAAATCACATTACAATATCTTTACAAAAGTGAAATACGAGTAAACAGAAACCACTGAGAAATGATCCAAATAATTACATTACAATGTGAAGAAAAACAAATCAAGAGTCAAGAATATAAACAATACCTGCTTCGTTCTCTGTTGATTAGTAGGTATTATATCAGAAACTTCTGACCCATGGTCACCATCATTTTCCATCTAGATTCCATCAAAAGGGGAGAAGCTAATCATTGAGAAAATTCCGGGAAGATCAATAAGTGAATTAATTTACTTTAGGTAATTACTTTCCAGTAAATATTGCTCAAGAAGGCACTGTACAGAGCTTTCACGCCCAAAACATAACAAACATATTCGGATTAGATAAAATGGAAGAAAAAGATAAAATCCCAATTGACTCAGAAAATATCAAACAATACAAGTATCTATTCCTCTGGATTAATACAATGTCATATGAAAACACAAAATTAGAAAAGGATACGGGCAAAAAATCTGAACCATTAGAAAATGAGTGGATAGTCCAAATGTATTATCTGAATAAGTCAACTGATCAGGTAATTTCATTGAATCAAATATGAAACAGGATACCCTCCGAGAAAAGCTAGAATTTGGGAGGGAGAAATAGAACAACCTGAATATTCCTTGTTCTCGAACAGAGAACTCTCTGTGTGGTGTGCAACAAAAGAAGCAAAACTTGGTCGTCGAAGGACTCATAAAACTCTTAAATACGAAACAAGTATTGAATATTGATGATTCCCAAAAAGATAGAAGACGAGACAGAGTAATGGGTATATGTGCAAAGAGGAACTTGGGGAGGTTGGCTTTCCCTTGTTTTCTCGAGAAAACGGAATGGAAAATTCAAGGGGAAAAAGGAACAGTCAAAAAGGGGTTGATGCTTGGAATCTAGTGTATTAAATTCCCTCGAAAACTCAACATTATTTTGGAGCGCAAAGGCCATGATTCGTCTGTTTGCTGCTTCTTTTCGTCTTGGGGAAACCAAAAACTTTTCTTTTTTAAGAACGAGGGGGGAAAAAAAAAAAAAGCGTGGTCTTTCGCGTTCGATTCCGTGAAATGTGAATTGTCTGGCATTGAGCTTGGTTCATAAATTGAAAGTTAGGAGAAGAGAAGAAAGAGAAAAATGGGTGGAAACCCACGTGTGCGCCGGCAAGGCAAATTATTGCACAGTTTGTTGCCCCTTTGGATGGGTCCGTGGATTGTTTCCCTGCAGCGTGGCACCGCGTAGCTTTTGCCCTGTCTACTGTACATTGATAATTGACTGACCCTGGTTCAAGAGACAGAAAATATTATAACTGTGGAGTTCATGATGGACTTGAATCACCATTCTTGAGTAAAATATGAAACGAGGTAAAGGATACTGATAAGGGTAACTTATTTTTCAGATGATGTGTAGATGCCTCACATTTAGTTAATATTGATGTATCATTAATTATACTACATATAAAATTTATAATAAATTGTACTTCTATAAATTGGGATCTGTAAGATAGAAAATAACAAGTTAGGCCAGATCGTAACTTAAATCTCAATTGAATAAATTGACGATATCATACTTTTTTTATTAAAAGAATGCCTTAGTGGTGAAAAATTGATTTATAGTGACAAGAAACATTTCATACTTGAATTTCATTCAAAAGTCTTCTGAACGAATCTAAGAAACATGAATAAGTTTTTGTACTTCTTCTATTCAAAATCTTTGACAATCACGACCACGGAAAAAACATATGATTTTAGAGAGGGAAAACATTCTCCTTAGTCTCTTAAATTGTTGGCATCTTTTTGTCAAAATATAAAGTCTATTCTAAAAACAAATCCCTTTATTATTGGGTCACAAGATTCACAACCATATCTATTGCACAAAGAGAAAATTGCATTGATATACCACATGCCAGGGTATTTTTAAAATGTCAATCAAATTTAGAAAAAAGAATTAAGACAATTAATTTTAATCAATTTTTAGGAGACAGCCTAGCTATCGAACTCTAGGCGTTCTTACTGGTTTTGAAAATAGCATGGGACAGTAGATTTAGAAAGATTGATGACACGGAGACGGACGCCCAAGAAACTATCCAAAACATGAATGTGGCCGATTATTCTTGCCACCCCCAATGTACAGAAACACTATCTTATTCTCTATTATGGCTACAGAATGGGAAGTGACTTTGACTCGTATTCTTTGATCATAATGCCAATTAGCCCTCCGCTGACTACCTACCTGGCAAATTAAGCAAGTTTTCTCATGCATGCTTGGAATACGCCCTAATCCTACCTACTACCCCAAGCTTACAAAGGATCCTTCAGAAGGACCACAGTACCTCTAGTAGTATTACTTAGTTGCTTTGAGAGCTCATCTCTATTATATATTAGGCTCCCTTCCTATGTGAATAAAGGCCCAATATTTGAAGCCTATTTGATTCTCACTTATTAAAGTAGAGAGGGGACATATCAGGGTCAACGGTGAGGTCTCATTTGAGAGAAAAGTACAGCCATTTGGGAAGAGAAGAAGAGGAAAGCTATTTTCGTATCTTCACAGGAAAGTCTTGGTAAATTATATTTACATATTCGTTAATCGTTGGATCGAGCTAAAACTTGATCAACAAATTCACAACATTTAGTGCATTATTTTCAATGGTGGGATTATCAGTTCATTGCATGGTGTGAGAGTTATGTAGTTCATTCTACAACCTCTGGTTTGGGTATTTTTCAACTTCTTCATTCTCTTTTGTAAGCTTGTAGCTTTGTTTGTTTGGCTAGTTGTTTGCACTTATTTGTGCATCTGATTGAGACTCTCTTGTATCCTATTTTGATTATAGTGAAACCAAAATTTTCATTTGTCTGGACAACCAGTGGTTTTTACCCTTGCATTTTGGGGTTTTTCACATTGATAATTTTTGCGTCTCTTACCCTATTTAATTTCTACCGCATACTTATTTTGTTTCCTCAAAGATCCTTGCAAGTGGTGACAAAATATTTTCACTGCATATAACTCATAAGGTTGAGTTGTGTTTTTTTCTCATCCTAGTGGTATCAATGTCAAGTTCTCATGTTGACAAGTTGTCTAGTTATGAGGTTGTAAGATTGGCTAATTGTTGATTGTTGAGTTGTTTTACTTGGTTGAATGATGAAGACATATACAAGGATGTGATTTCTTTAAATGGCAGTAATTATCATCTATGGAAAGGCAAAATGAACGATTTGCACTCAAAAGCTGAATTCTCAATTTGATGGGGATCAGGATTTCTTGCATCAATAAGTATGTGGTGTTATTCGGCAATTTGTAAATGATAATGTTTGCAATCATGTTGCGAATGAGACAAATGCAAAAACTTCATAGGAGAAGATTGAGTCATTGTGTGCCTCTAAGTCTAGAAATAACAAATTGTATTTGTTGAATTGTTTGATAAATTTGAGGTGCAAGGATAAGACTTCTATTTTTATTTACTTGGATGAATAAATGAATTTCGAGGGCTCCTAGATCAGTTGTTTGGAATGGGTATTAAGTTTAGAAATGAGATTTTAGGACTATGGCTTTTGAATACTCTACCTGATTCTTAGGAGACATTTCAAGTTTCTATTGCAAATTAAGCCCCTAAAAGTGTTATCTCCTTGTAGGAAATAAAGAGTGGTGCTCTTAGTGAAGAAATGAGAAAGAAGGCACATAGTTCTTCATCTTAGTCTGAATTGTTTGTTACAGAAAATAGGGAGAGAAATTATAAGGGAGAACTAAATGGTGGTAGAGAGCAAAGTAAGAACAAGTCCAAATCCAGATACAAGGATGTAGAGTGTCATTATTGCCATAAAATAGGGCATATTAAAAAGAATTGTTTTTAGTGAAAAAGGGAGAATAAAGATAAAAAGGGTAAGCAGAAAGACAAGGGCCATAACGATGATAAGCATACCAATACAGCTACCAGTAATGATCTTATTATTCTTCATGATTATGACATAGTTAATCTTGTATCAGATAAGAGCATGTAGATGAAAAACAGTGGCGCTACATTGCACGTCATGCCAAGAAAGAAGTACTTCATATCTTACACATCTAGTGACTTTAGGGTGTTAGGATGGGTAACGATAGCGTGTCTAAGGTGGTTAATATTGGTGATGTTTGTCTAGAAACTAGCACAGGAACAGAATTACTTCTTAAAGGAGTAAAACCTGTTCTAGATGTTCCTTTCAATTTAATATTTGTTCAAATTCTCAATAAAGGCTTTGGTAACTACTTTAGGTCTGGAAAGTGGAAACTTTGGTGATGGCTAGGGGAAAAAGGTTTCTAAGTTCTATATGACAAAAGCTTTAGTGGCTAGAGATAATATGGATGCTATAGATATGGAGGCATCAAATTTATGGCATTAAAAGCTTAGTCATATTAATGGCAAAGGGTCAAGTTGTTTAACCATGAAAGGTGTACTTCCTAGATTAAAGAGTGCAGAATTTGAGAAGTGTTCTCACTGCATGGTTGGTAAGCAAGCTAGAATATCTTTCAAGAACAATCTTCCTTTAGAGAGCTCAAGGTTGCTAGAGTTGGTGCATTCTAATATTTGTGAAAAGTTTGAAGCTTATTGTGAGGACGCAAGATAGGTAATTATCTCCACATAATCAGGGAGGGGAGATATATGTTGGGTTTTAGGCTCCCTTTCTATATGGAAAAGGCCTAATATTTGAAGCTCATTTGAGTCTTATTTATTAAAGTGGAGAGGCAAGTAGATTAGGGTTAAGGGTAAGGCATCATTTTAAGAGAAAAGAGTAGCAATTTGGGGAGAGAAGAAGAGAGAAAGCCATTTTCGCATCTTCACAGGGTAATTTTATTAAATTGGTGTTTACGCATTTGTTAAATATTGGATCAAACTAAAACCTGGTCAACAGTTTCATGACGTTTAGTACATCATTTACAATGATGAGATCGTCAATTAATGCCTAGTGTGAGAGTTATTGAGTTCATTCGATGGTCTCTAATTTGGGTATTTTTTAGTTTCTTCGTTCTCTTTTATAAGCTTGTAGCTTTAGTTATTAGGTTGGTTGTTTGAACTTGTTTGTGCATCTGATTGAGACTGTCTTGTACCCTATTTTGATCATAGTGGAGTTGTGATTTTCTTTGGTCTAGACGACTAGTGATTTTCACCCTTGCATTGAGGGGTTTTTCCTGTTAATAATTTTGATGTCTCTTGTACTATATAATTTCTTTCATATATTTGTTTTGTTTCCTTAAAGATTCTTACAAGTGGTGAGAAAATATTTCTACTACGTATAATTCATAAGGTTGAGTTGTCTATTTTTCACATTAGTCTCTTCTCTTATTAGCCCAAAAAAAAATTGATCATGTGACATCCTCATATTTTTATCCCTAAGCATAAATAAATTTATAAATAAATATTCATTAACATCGATTTAACATAGGTTAAATATATATATGCATATATAAAAAATTAAAATAATGATGATTATATATGTGTATGTATATGTATAGCTAGATATATATGAATTAATGAATAAAATAATGAGGTTGAGAAGTCTCATATCAACTAAATGATAGGAAAATAAAACTCTATAGGCCCTATTTGGTACATGGCATTGGGAGAAGTGGCATTGGGATTGGTACTGGCATTGCCTATTTTGTAATGTTTAGTGTGAGGGACTGAGAGCAACTTGGGATTGGGGAATCTCGCATAAGTGGGATTACTTAAACCTATTACCCCCATGATATTGCTAGAGTTATCATTTGATTGAAAAATATGGAAACAAAATTAGCTATATTTATAATAATTTTTGGACTGAAATACCCTTATGTTATTCCTCACATTATCGCTTTTCTCTCTCTTTCACCCTCTTTATGCTCCCTTGCCTCATCTTCTCTATGATTGTCTTCTCCCTTATCTCTAGTAACCTCTATCTCCTTCATCTCCAATCACTTTTTCTAGTTTTTCCCTTCATATCCGATCTTGCAACCCTACAATGTAGATGTTGGAACCACCGTCATTTAAATCTCACAA